TAAGCCCTGCTGCTGCCCAAGTATTGATTCCTGCAGTTGTGAAATCATGAAGTCAAATCATATATTCATATATTCATTGGACAAAACTCCTTTTGGAGAAATGGAGTTGCTATCAGCCATTTACAGGGAAATAAGTCAAAGTGGAATTTGAAAAAAACAGCATGAGCTGTCTACATGAAGCCAATAGGAAGGCAGTGGGGGAGAAGGGTGTGTGCTGTATCTGAGTCCTATCTCTCCTTGCCCACTCTCCAGTCCCACCACCACCCCCATACTGCATTGCCCAGTGGTCCTTGAGAAGGTCTTCTAAATAGGTCTCTCATATTTACAGAAACATTCTACTGTTGCCTGCTCATTTTTTTCTTTTATAAAAAAAATTGCAAGAAACATTAATTCAAAACATGCTTTTAGGTATCATTAACATTGTAAATCCTAAAACATGAAACTCTAAAACCCAGCTAAGTATATTCAATATTTCAGAGCACTGCTCTCTTCTCTCCTGTGCTCTGCATTTTAAAGGAATTGGAGATGGCAAAACACAGTCCTGGTGCTGGGAATAGATAGATGGTCTATATCGGAAAGCTGATGATGCTAGGGTGAAATCGGAATTCCCAATTGGAACAATTAGTGATTGTATTTCATCTTTAATCTTATTTGTGACTGTTTCTGTATTTTCCTTTAATTTTTTGGAACATGCTTTATATGCTCCTATCTTCAAAACAAGTGAAAGCCTGAATGTTTTTCATGCTATGTTCTTGGACCCCAGGGCCCCTTCATGTCACAGCCCTGCTTCTAGGGGCATTGTCCCTGTTCCTGTCTCCACATCCTCATCCTCTCAGCCCTTTCAGGAAGCTGCCTTTCAAGGTCCCCTCATCCCACATCCCAGGCTGCCCGGTTCCATCCAATCTCAACACCACATGTGGAGCCTTTATGTGCTCTGCCCTCTCTTGGTTCTGTCACTCACCTCTGCCTCTTCCTGTGTCTGGCCTTATCCCTCTTCATCTTCTTTCCACACTTCCTGTCCTAATACTTAAATCCTGATGCTATTCGGGGCCTTTCCTTCTCACTCCCCTTCACAATCTCAACCTTGTATCTGGGTTTCACTGCTGTCTAGAGGCTGATGATTCTGCAGTCTGTCTGCACCAGAAATCTTCGAGCTCCAGAACCCTCTATCCACTTGCTGACTAGACAAGGTTACTGGGTGTCCGACAGGCAACTCAAGCTCATCTTGCTCAAAATTGAACCCTTCTCATTTCCTCCTCCCATAAGCACAGTTCTCCATTTCCTCTCATTGGATGACGGTGTCCCTCAGGTGCCCAAGCCGGATCCTGGGCGTTGTTTGTGACTCTCTTTATCCCCCACCCCAGTTACTCACCAAGGGCCATGTTCATCCCGCCTCCCATTTGCTCTTGTCATGGCCTCTTCTTTTAAATGCCATTGGAGCCTGAGCTCAGGCTTGGATCATTGTGGTAGGTAACTGAGGAGTTCTGGGCTTCCATCTCCATTGCCCTGCTTCCACTCCATCCCAGAGGGCCTCTCTAGCCTTCCGACCTGCCTGTATCTCCCCCCCCAAATCCCCTCCACTTTGCCCAGTTCCACCCCAGGATGGAATTGGATTGGCCCCCTGGCCTTCCGTTCCACCTGTCTTCTCCCAGACTGTGACGGCACCATCCTGTGCTGTGCGCTTGGCTCTGAACATGCCATGCTTCCTCTTGCCCCTCTCACTTTGTGTTTACCTGGATCTCACTCCCCTATTGTCCTCCCCACAGGGCAGACTCCTACTCCCTCTGCAGGCGGACTAGGGTATTACCTCCTGAAGGAGGCCTCCCCTGACTCACTCTGCTTCCCATGCCCCACCCTACAAGCCTGTGCATCAGTCCAGGGGCCAGGGAGGCCAGGAAGGGGCCATGACTCTTCATCTTTCTCTGTGTCATGTCATCCCAGCACATACTCTTCACTGACTGCCTTAGTTACCTAAACCCACTGCCATTGAGTCAATTCTGACTCATAGCAACCCCATTGGGTTTCTGTTTCTGAGGTGGTAAATCTTTATGGAAGTAGATTGCCCCATCTTCCCTCTGTAGAGTGGCTGGTGAGTTTGAACCGCCAACCCTCTGGTTAGCAGTCAAATGCTTTAGGCACTGCATCACCAGAGCCCTAGTTACCTAGGGCTGCTGTAACACAAAGACCACAAATGGATGGCTTTAGAGAGTAGACAATTTCTCACCATTTTGGAGGGTGAAAGTGCTAATCGGGCTGTGCTTCCTTCCTTGTTGATAGCCCTAGGGGTTCCTTGGTTGTAGCAGTTCTGACATGGTGTTCCTCTGTCCCCTGTGTGTGTCTCTGTGTCTACCTGGTCTTATAATTCAGAAGAGATTGGGTTTAGGATCCACCCTGCACTGGTTTAACCTCAATGGAGTTATTCTATTAGATTGCATCATGGAAGGGGATTCATTCTATTGCATTACATGATGGAGGGCAATGTGCTATACCTAAAGCCAAGTGGTGTAATCATATGTGAACTACGCCATGACAATAGCTAAACTATTTGGCCAAGCAAGTGAGAATCAGAGTCAAATTGAGTTTATACATGAAATTAACCATCACACTGAGCGTGTAGCCTGTGATAGGCATGGTACCCCATGCTCAACTGAGCAGGGTGACACGGAGCCTCAGACCTGGGAGGAGTGGGTGGTAGTCCCCTGCCCATGCTGCAGAGGAGGAAACCGAGGCACAGAGAGGTGGAGTGAGTTGTCCAAGCGGACCTTGTTGGTATGTGGGGCTCTGACTGTGGACTCACAGAATCTCGCTGCAGCACCTGACCCCCTGTCCCTGTGCACACTGCCCTCCCTGTAGGTGCAGGCCCAGCAGAAAGTTCTGCCTTAGTGGATGGAGACAAAGCCGGGTGTTCTGGTTACCTAGTGCCGCTCTGACAAGAAAATACCACAAATGGGATGGCTTGAACAAACAGGAATTTATTCTCTCACAGTTCGGGAGGCTTTAAGTCTGAGTTCAAAGTGCCAGGCTCTAGGGATTGGGTGAAAGCCCCTCACCTTTGGGCTTCAGCTCTGTCTCTTGCTTCCGGCCCACTGAAGCTAGAGGCATCTCTTCACTCAGGCAGCTACTGGCTACTGAGGGTAACAAGCCCAAGGTTGACAAATAAAATGGCACAGTCCCAATGTTAACCAAACCACATGGCAGGCCATTAATTCAAGTCCATTGAAAGTCCCAAGGTCGGTAGAGCATGGCAGGCTGCTGAACAACAACACGGCTACATGCAGGCTTCAAGGGTACCATAAGCTAGAGACTGTTCCCAAAGCTGTTTCTTATATATGGGAAGCAGACCACATACCCAAAGGAGCTACTCAGCAGAGCGTGGTAGATTCTGCCATTGAGTTGATTAACAGTCTCATCATGGGGAATACTACATCCTGCTGCCCAGTCACTCAACCAGGCCTAGCCAAGTTGACACACAAACTTAAGTACCACACCGGGAATTTAGTAGGCTACTTAGCGGCTGGCCAAGCTGAGAACCGTTTTGAAAGCCAAGGCCTAAGCTCTCCAGGAAGAATTGTACTTTGGTCCTCCTGGAATAGATGAGATAAGCTACAATTCAAATGCAGGAGTTCTGGTAGTGTAGTGCCTAAGGCACTTGACTGCTAACCAGAAGGCTGGCAGTTCTAACCCACTAGCCACTCCTTGGAGGAAGGTTGGGCCATCTACTTCTGTAGTGATACAGCCTTGGAAACCCAAGGAGGGGTTGGTATGAGTCGGATCTGACTTGATGGCACGTAACAACAACACAATTCAAATAATTGTCATGAGAAGCATTTTGTCTTAGTTCTCCAGTGCCACTGCAACAGAAATACCTTAAGTGGAGGGCTTTAACAAACAAATTTATTTTCTTACAGTTTAGGAGGCTGGAAGTCCGATTCAGGCTGCTGGCATTAGGGGAAGGCTTTTTCTTTGTTGGCTCTGGAGAAAAGTCCTGGTCTGATCCCAGCATCTGTGTGCTGGGCATGCTTTGGTGATCTCCGTGGGTTGGGCCTCAGTCTTACCCTGGGTCTAGGACACTTGTTGTGCAGAGACCCTGGGTCCAAAGGACACAGCCTGCTCCCTGCTCTTCTTTCTTGGTGGCAGTCTCTCCCTCCCCTCTGCTCACCTCTCTCTCCTTTTGTCTCGTGTAAGGGAAGAGGTAGCGCAGCCCCCACCTCAGGAAAACTCCTCTTATATCACATCGGGGCTGTAACTCAGGAAAGTATTGCATCCTAGTCTAATACCCTTACAACTCATTGGCTGATCACATCAGATTGCAACATGGAGGTGATTACGTCATTGCGCAGATGCCACATTGCATCATTACATAACTGCCAAACCACCAAGAATCATGCCACAGCTAAGTTGACATATATTTTTTGGGGACACAATCCAACTTGTGACAAATTTCTTATAAAAATTGCAGTTCGCTGATGGCACAGTGGTAAATCACTTAGCTGCTAACTGAAAGATCAGCAGTTTGAACCACTTGCACTCCACAGGAGAAAGGTGTAGCCATCTGTTTACTTAGAGATTACAGTCTTGGAAACCCTGTGGGGCAGTTCTACTCTGTTCTATAGGGTCGCTATGAGTCGAAATTGACTTGGTGGCACACAGCAATGAAAACAACACCTCTATATAATTATTTGAAAGCACAACATGTGTGGTTGCATTTTGGGCACGCTATGTGCCCCATGTTTGTGTATGTGTATGTTTGTGAACTGATAGCATGTGTGTATGTGGAGATATACAGATGTATGCATGTACCTGAGTGTATTTGTGTGTCAGCTATTTGCATGGCATGCCATTGATCTCCTTATTCATGGCCAGGTAATCTGAACAAGCCATGAGGCAGTGCCCTGTCCCACAGGCTGTAATTTGGTGTGCTTACTAGGGCACAATACGTCTAGCCGCCCTGAGCTGTGTCTTGGTGGGTGTCCTGCTGATCAGCCCTGTGTCTCCTGCAGACTGCCGCGAGATCCTGCTTCCCATGATGACAGATCAGCTCAAGTATCATCTGGAGAGGCAGGAAGACCTGGAGGCCTGCTGCCAGCTGCTCAGCAACATCCTGGAGGTGCTGTACCGGAAGGATGTGGTGAGTGGTGGTTTTGCCCGCTCAGGCCGCCCTCGGGACCTTGCCGGACGTTCGGGCCCATGATTCACACCAACCCGAGCCCCACATGCACAGCAGGGTCATATTTTATTTGTGTACAAAGGAATTGCCTTAAGTTCAAGGTTTCGCCTTTCTTTTTCTCTCTGTAGGGTTGCATTCTTGAATTATTTTTATTTACGGGTAAAGCCTTTCTTCATTATCTTACCATGTTTATTCTTCTGCATTCAAAAAAAAATCTTCCTTTAACATTGATTTCCCATCTTCTTAGCTAAACACCTCTTGAGACCTAGATTTTAATCCTGAAGTTCAGACAGAGGCTTTGATATTACAAGTTGACTATAAAAAAAGGAGGCTAATTACCTGAGTTCTTCCTCTCAATTCTTTAATTTTATTAACGTAAAACGTGCACATAGTTTATGAAGAAGTCAGTGGTGCTTATGAGATTCATGGTGAGAAGAGGCCCTCTGCCCTTCTCTGTGGGCACCTCTCCCCAGACAAACACTCTGGGTGCTTTGTAAGCTACCTCCCTGCCCCTGCCCTCCATGTCTCTTCTGCATTTCTAAATCGTAAGCTTATACCACTGGCTTTTTTTTTTTTTTTTTAAATCAACTGTTGGTATGAACACACAGTGGACAAACCTGGCCCTGTTCCTCCCATCCCCACGTACCATATATGTGGATGCACACATGCATTACAGCCACAGGGATACTCACATGAAGTCGTTTGTTGTCCAGTTGTGTCAGCAAAGGTCAAAACAGGGCCCGGCCGGTCAGTCCACTCATCACCTCTGGCCCGTGGCACTGGACAGACGGGCCAGGTTTTGAAGTTGACAGAGCTTGTCCTTGACTCTCTGCTGTGGACACCTTCCTGGTTGACACACACACACATGCCCCACTTCTACCCACACCCCTATTATGTTCGCCCATCCCGGCTGACTTTCTTGAAGAAAGAGATCAGATGACATTAGCTCACACTGTTGATGGTACAGCCTTTGGAAAGGCTTCCACAGCCTTTGCCCACAGGTCTGCCTCCATGGTGCCACTCGAGGCCCTTCCCATTTCTTACTGGGCAAAGGATTAAGTGTAAAGAGGGTCTAAGGGCTCTGGTGGTGCAGGGATTATGTGCTCAGCTGCAAGCCCAAAGGTTGGTGGTTCAGACCCACCCAGCCAGCTCCACAGGAGAAAGACCAGGCAATCTGATTCCGTAAAGATTATGGTGTAGAAAGCTTCATGGAACAGTTCTGCCCTGTCGCATGGGGTGGCTGTGAGCGAGAATGGACTGGGAATTAAACAACAACAAGAAAGAGGGCTTCCAGCCACTGCTTCCGGAGGAGATGATCGGAGAGCAAATCTTACCTGACAGAAAGCTCTGGGCCCTGTGTACTTTGTGCCATTTTCTAAGATGATATTTTAATGATCTGTCCTGTGTGATCGTTTGACCCACAAGTTATACGGGTTGTGACGTGCAGAGCCACTAGGGTTGTTATTTGCCAAAGTTCCATTCACAAATGACCAAAGTGTCTTTAGAAAAGTAATTGGCAGGCTAATCAGGGATCATAAACATCTTATTGCTCAAACAGATCAGCTTTTATTTTTAAGATTTGCTTAAATTAAATTACTGTAATTATAGAACAAATTTTCATTAATGGACTGTAATTAATAACATGCCTTGAGTTTTCTTCACATAGGCCTTTTTGCCTTGACAAGGTCCATTTTTCATCTCGTTAAGGGTTATAATTGATTTACACTTTACAGGGTAAATAGATTCGGTGACAGCCATCGGGGCTGGCATTCTCATGATTGTCTTTGGTGCTGGTTCTCACGGGTCTGTCCTCTTCCAGGGCCCCACACAGCGCCATGTCCAGGTCATCATGGAGAAACTTCTCCGAACAGTGAACCGAACTGTCATTTCCATGGGACGGGATTCCGAGCTCATCGTAAGTGCTCAGTGACTTCCATGCACACATGTGATCGTGGCCATTTGATCTCAAGTCCTAAAGTCTATCTGGTCCTTTTCTAACTGTCTTTTACAAAAATAAGCTTTGTTTGGATTTTTGCTTGTGGAAATCTAACAAACACTAGAAATGCATCCATATGCAGTCATGGTGTGTACAACGCGCTGACTGGCCATTATTCTAGAACCAAGTGTTGACACATGAGGGTGAGCAATCCAACATTTAGAGTCAGAAGCATTTGGTCCTAGTGGTTTTGTTTTGTTCAGCAAATTCCATGTCTACGTTTTCCTAAGTCTTTCTGCTGGCTTCTTTCTACGTCTTCACATTTAAGATCCATTAATAAAATTTTACGAAGAACCTTCAAAAGTAATTACGGTACTCCCACCTAGCTGTTTTATTGTTGACTCTAATGCATGGTAAGTGTTTCTCTTATGCATAGTATGTAACCATGGAAAAGTACCCATTAACTTTTTCTAAAGAACGTTTTGAGAATAATGTAGCAGCCTTTCCAGTTTTATGTCATGGAGCGTATTTTCCAGAGTCTGTCCTCCTACCTCTCATTATTCTTAGGTTTGGTTTTTTAAACTAAGATCCACACGTTGGTCCCACATCATATCTTTGATTTGTAGACTATGTTACCCTTTAACCTCAGGTGATGACATTTCTCAAAAATAACTTCCCTAATCTAGAGTGTTCGCTGGCCATCAGCTAGGCCAGTTGGTCTTCCTTGGCGTGTGGTCTCCACTCTTGTGTATTCCTAGAGAGCAGGACGAGTAAGCTGAAACATGTCTCTTTCTGAAAGCAACACATAGGCTCCTCTGTGGCTAGGGTCACTATGAAGGACACTGGATCCGGTGAGTCCTAGACAGACAGCAATGAAGTAGCACAAGTGCTATTTTGGCTTTGATTCTGTCCAGCAAAATCGTCTAGTTTATGTCTTGGAGTTTCAGCGCGTGCCATGCTTAGATTTTCCTTTTTAAAGGCAATCTCATTTAGATATGGACAATACATATATAAATTAGGAAATAAAATATTTCCTTATAAATGTGCTCTCTCTCTGGCTGACTTTTCCATTTATTCTTTGAACATAAATTTGCCTGCCTCCTCCTGTGCTTCCTCATGGCCATTCTTTTCTATAATCTGGAAACACGTCCATATGCTCAAGGTGGGTGGAGACTGTGAGCCCGCTGGAGTGGGTCTTGGAGGATTCTTGAAGCCCTGAGGTCTGGGCTGCCCGGGTCCTTGGGGTCATACTATGGGTGAAGTTTGAACCCTCTCACATCATGGAACCCAGAAAGAGCAGCAGAAGAGAGTGAGTGATGTGTGGCTTGGAGTTGTGCCAAGTGTCATAGTGCTTGCTGACATCCTAGTGGGATGGACCAGTGGCTCAGAGCTGGGCGGTGTGGTGGTGGGACTCCTCGGGGTTTCCGCGGCTGAGGGAGGGCAGTTCTGGAAGTGCTCTGCAGGTGGGCAGTTAGGCAGATGGCAGATGGAGGCAAGTGAACCGCTGAGAGGTCCTATGTCCAGTTAGGGGAAGGTGGGGTCAGAATCAGGATGCCTTCACTCAGCTCAGAGCCAGCCAGCCAGCCAGCAGGTCAACTGGGGGGAGGCGAGCAAGGGAGAAGGCCCCCAAGTGTTTTGGATGGGCACGTGGGGCAGGGTTGTATGAGGAGCTCAGATTTCAATCTGAGGATCTGCCAGGAAGTAGAGTGATGCTGAACGGGGGTCTCATTTCTGTGGGTACCTCCCAGCAGATGTGTTCTGGCTCAGACCCCATAACCACAGTCGTGCCAATCATGGTACCAGCTCTGCATCAGCACTTAATGGTATGCTGAGTGGTCAGTGTACACCAATGAGACAACTCTCATTTAAATCTCAGCTTCATTTTCCATATGCCCTGCAGAAAATGCCCCACAGAGAGAGAGGCAATTGTCCAAGACCCATAGCCAGTGCAGCAATGCTTGTTTGGAGCCCAGCGGGGGCACAACCCTGGCTCTCCTTTGTTTCTTCTGAGACACGTGATGCCAATGGCGGTGGACCACTTGACTGTGACCTGCTCTCAGCCTCTGTCTAATTAGGGAGGCAGCTCTCAGGGAAATAAGCACCTTTCTATTGTCAGTCATTTCCATGGTCACCAATATTAGGAGTTCCTGGAGGTGGAGGGGCCAGCCCAAGAGTGGGAAACCCATTTCCTGAAGGGGTTAGGAGCCCCTGCCTTGGAGCAACCCATGTGTTCCCACCTGGTTGACCTTGCTGAAGTCCTGCCTGGCATGTTCTAAGAAGGGGGATTGGCAGTGAAGACCCACACTGGATTCACCTCGCTGTATCTCTGTGCATTGTGGGCAGTGAGCAAGGGCCAGGACACTGGCAGGGATGGAGGGAGGAGAGCAAAATACCGGCTCCCCAGAGCCCTAATCTTCACCTGAAATGGGAGCTTCTAAAAGCAGGAAGGCGATTTAGGTCCTAAACAGTTGTCTACAACAACTATTGCAACATCTCTGATCTCTAAAAGGTCTTAAAAATTCCTTTGAATTTCTTTCGTGAAACCAATCAGGCTATCATGGGAGGAATCTTACCAAAAAAATAAATATTCTGAGAAAGCTGTAATTATTGAATGAGCAGTGACAGCATCAAGATAGTTTCAAGAAGGGTATTCACCATTTAAATGCGAGTTGTTTAGAAGAATCTGTCAGTCATCCATCAACCACGGGTCCCCTTTGTGATGTCAACAGAAGAGTGAGACCAAGACACATCCTGTTTAGTATGCTTCACCTGGCTCTCAGGATGTGCATCATATGTAGATTGAGGCATTAACGTTTTAATGTCACTGTCTTGGCTGAGAATTGACGTGAGAAGAAGGGCGGGGGGAAGGTATTCCTGACAAAGTGGATGGAAAACTGTCAGAGGGCCTTGTAGACCAGAAGAGCAGACAGTGCATAGAGGCTTGTTGGGTTACACTGTAGCATTTCTTGATGCCACAGAGACTTCAGTTTGTGTGTGCTTCTTCGGCATAAATGGGTAGTGGAAACTATAACCATGAATCAGCTTAAAAGTTCTAAGTCATCCTGAAAATGGATTTTAGAAAAAAGTAAGTGGTTAGAAAGAAACGCTCTGCGTAGATGGGCTTCACTTAATGATTCACTTCATGACACTCCTAACAATAATATTGGAAATGTGACCTCTGTTTCCATAAAAATGAGGTATTAGTTGGGACTGCTGGCGTGGCCCGACAGAGTTGTAATGTGTGGGGGAGAGAACTGGGGACCATCACATGTAATTGCATAAGCTGTGATACACTCTTTTACGTCGGGTTCCCTGTTATCTGTACTGATGTTATTTTATAAAAATTGCATTATGCAGTTGGTTCTTTATCATTTTAGTTCATTTCATACTTGGCAACATTGTATTTAAAATGGCTATTTGAATGCATCTCATGCGTAAGATAAAAATATGCCATGATCCTAAATATTAGTCTTTTGTTTTAAGAAATAAAACTTCTCCTAGCCATTGTGGAATTGTAGGTCATGTGGATGCCTAAAACAGGATGTCAGACAGAAGCCTTGCAGCGACTTTGGTGTAGTATTTAAAGGTTGTTTTATTGCTATTCTAGTGTGGCCTGATACTGTAGAACAATTGAGTGAAATATGGAGGTTTGTGGTAAGTGTGATTGCAGATTTTTGTTTTTCGCTTCCCGCTGGGCCGTCTTTCTCGACCTCAATGTTAGATGGTATTCCTCGTTGCCATGTATGTGTACGTGCAGATGTGCTGGTGGGGTCATATGCTCCTGTCTTGTGGGCAGTGCCCAACCAGCCATGTGGTGTGTGGACCGGCACCGTCAGACGTGTGCCTATGCTAGAACATGCCCCAGTGTGGGGTTGAAAGTGGACAGAACAACCCCAGTGTGGGGTTGAAAGTGGACAGAACAGGTAACGCACAGTTCTGTCTTCTATGACACTTGCTGTCACTGCTGTGTCTGAATGACCAGATTCACATTCTACCAGTGAGTCCTTTAAAAATGTAACTCAGTGAGAAGGACTCCTAAGGCCTGCCTACACACACACCCCAAGACTACACGTAATTAATTCACTACAAGGGACGTCAGGGCCTCTTCTAAGACAAGCTACTCTTGGAAGATTCATAAAAGCAGGCATAGGGCAGGGGAACATTTTGCTTGGATCTCCCACTTATCCTCGTGGTCACTGGACCCTCCTCAGTCACTTGGCTCTGATGGCAGCTACTCGGCCTCCTCCCTGAGCACCACCTGTGGGTGGGTGGGTGGGGGGTTCCTGATGCGGGCTTGCAGTCGAATGACTACAGCCTTGTTGGCAGGAAGGTGCTGTTGGTGCAAACTCAGGGCTTGCTTTGCGTAAGGTGATGGACGGGGCCCTGATGTGCTTATTCATTAGGAAGATCGTACAGTGTTAGTGGTCTGCAGGGGGAATAGGGAACCAAGGCTCATAACCGCATAGCTTCACAAAGATGTCACGTCTCCATGCCAGAGCGCTCCTTCGAGCTGCTTACTGCAAGGGAGTTTAGGTAGGAATGAGCTCCTCCATGGATGCTATTTTTGATTTTCCCTTTGTGATAGAAAATGATGGATTCTAAGTGTTGCAAACGGACAGTGTCAGTGTGTCTCAAATTGTGTTGCTTTGTAATCTACAAACATGCTGCTGGAAGACCTGCCTCACATATGTCAGGTGTGAACAGCAGTGGCTCCTCAAGTTCATTTCTACTTGGTGGTGTGGGGGCAGCAGCTTTCCTGGCCGTTCTCATTCCCTGTAGCCTGATGTTTTGTTGAGGTTGGTCACTAACTTGGGGTTTACAGCTGAGGATCAAAAAACGAACCACCTAAGTACCTGGGGAGAAGCAGCTCTGCGATTCTGTATATTCCCACTGACCTGCACAGGTGTCTGACATCAAGGATCGAGCCACTTCCTAGGTCATGTGCTGCTCTCACGTGAGCCAGTCATGTATGGTGTGCA